GAATCTTAACATTAAAAAAAAAATCAATATTTTTCTAAGGTCTAGATCATAAAATTTTAAACAACCCTTTCAAGAGGTGGTCAGCGCAGAAAGACAAAAGATAAAAGAAAAATGTGAATACCCACTTTGTTCTACAATGTTAAGCTAAAGTTATCAGAACATGAACCTTTATAAAAATTGGGGAAGTTTGAAAAGTAACATAACATGGTCATTTACCTGATATTTCAAGAGTTCAAAATGGCCCCCTATTGGCGCAGCGGTATGTCTGCGGACTCACACCGCTAGAGCATAGATAGCCCATTGTTTTGTGGCTTTGTGCTTAACTTCAAACAAAGAAAAAGAAAGAGTTCCTAATGAAGTTTAAATTGGATCACGACTTAGTTTTGATCCGTTCTAAAGTAAACAAAAACCTTTCGGTTCCCAGTTACAACAGTGAATGATACACTTTGAAAGCAGAGAGTATGTAACAGTACACTCACATCAACATAGAAACAAGAGGCGTTGCAAGATAAGCCTAAAAAAATGTCTTCTCCAGGAACAAGACCTAATTCTTCTTTGGCAGTGTTCAGGATTAAATCTAGGATTTGATCAGGTTTGTCCAAAGTTGTAAACAGATCCATATTGGGAAGGCGCTGAAGAGGTGCCGAAGGCTGCAAAACAAAATAACAAAAACAATGTTGAGTGAATTAATCATGACGTCATCTAAACAACAAAAACAATGTTGAGTGAATTAATCATGGCGTCATCTAAACAACAAAAACAATGTTGAGTGAATTAATCATGGCGTCATCTAAACAACAAAAACAATGTTGGGTGAATTAATCGTGACGTCATCTAAACAACAAAAACAATGTTGAGTGAATTAATCGTGGCGTCATCTACAATACACTATAAACCTGGAATGGGTAAACTGTTCACACCATGGTAAGAGAACATTATAAACCTGGAATGGGTAAACCGTTCACACCATGGTAAAAGAACATTATAAACCTGGAATGGGTAAACCGTTCACACCATGGTAAGAGAACACTATAAACCTGGAATGGGTAAACCGTTCACACCATGGTAAGAGAACACTATAAACCTGAGATGGGTAAACCGTTCACACCATGGTAAGAGAACATTATAAACCTGGAATGGGTAAACTGTTCACACCATGGTAAGAGAACATTATAAACCTGGAATGGGTAAACCGTTCACACCATGGTAGGAGAACACTATAAACCTGGAATGGGTAAACCGTTCACACCATGGTAAGAGAACACTATAAACCTAGAATGGGTAAACCGTTCACACCATGGTAAGAGAACACTATAAACCTGAGATGGGTAAACCGTTCACACCATGGTAAGAGAACACTATAAACCTGGAATGGGTAAACTGTTCACACCGTGGTAAGAGAACACTATAAACCTGGGACACGTAAACCGTTCACACCATAATGGGAATTAAAAGACACGTTTAGACCTGAAACAACTGAATGAAAAACACCCATGCTTTAGGGACATGAAGGTGGCTTTTCCAGATAACCTACCTTATTGCCATCTAGTGCATAAAACGTTAACTATAATTAAAATAAATTCACGAATTATTATGGTTACAATTGTATGAGCTGTGCCAGTGTTTATGTGTTTTGTGTTGTGAAATTTTATCACCTGTCTGTTTTCTAAGTAATCAATTTTCAAGTTATTTTTATTAACCTTTTTGTTTAATGCTAAATTAGAAGTATATTTCTCACCTTTCCTTTTTTCTTCGGAGGTGTTGATTTTACAGAAGCACAGAGGCAATGGAATAAGTTGCTACAAAGTTCTACAGTTTTTGAAAGATTTTCTCGACAATTGGGCATTACAAAAACGTCTTGTATAAAATTCAGTTTTCCGGAGAAAGCTTTTCCACATTTTATCAGAGTCATTGCAGGAAGGGGAACGTAGATCTTTTCCTGAAACTGACAGAAAACAAATTACCCAAATAATAATATTACAATTAACAATAGCTTATTGTTAACGTTCTTCCCCGAAGTCAAACTAAAAACGTGAAAGTCAAACAAAATATTACAACTGCCAATCTGTTTTGTATTTTTCTTAAGCCCAGTCTCTTATTATGTCGGTGACTTGTTTAAGGTGTGAAACTTTCCTTGCCCAGTTTCTTATTATGTCAGTGACTTGGTTAAGGTGTGAAACTTTCCTTGCCCAGTTTCTTATTATGTCAGTGATTTAGTTAAGGTGTGAAACTTTCCTTGCCCAGTTTCTTATTATGTCAGTGACTTAGTTAAGGTGTGAAACTTTCCTTGCCTAGTCACTTATTATGTCAGTGACTTGGTTAAGGTGTGAAACTATCCTTGCCCAGTCTCTTATTATGTCGGTGACTTGTTTAAGGTGTGAAGCTATCCTTGCCCAGTCTCTTATTATGTCAGTAACTTGGTAATGGTGTCAAACTAGCCTTGCCAAGTCTCTTATTATGTCAGTGGCTTGGTTAAGGTGTCAAACTATCCTTGCCCAGTCTCTTATTATGTCAGTGGCTTGGTTAAGGTGTGAAACTATCCTTGTCAAGTCTCTTATTATGTCAGTGGCTTGCTTAAGGTGTCAAACTATCCTTGCCAGTGTCTATATTTAATAACTAAAATCCCCCTTACAATATATAAAATTTCTCTACACACAGTTGTACATTATCGTTCATGGCTATGTCCATATTTTGTATTGGATTCTTGTGTTTACCTGCGGAGAAACGAGCGACCTCACGTGGAGATAGAGCGGTAAACCACTAACAGTTGCTGAGGATTGACAGAGAAGGTAAGAGACCGTCGTGATGACCTCACGAGCAGCATAACTGATCTTGTCACCTTCTTTTTCACTTGTGCTGTTTCTGCGTGAAAACAGCACAGAACTTTTAACTAACGAGGCACAAAAAAGTCAACATTTCTACCCATAATCCTTACTTCTAATGGACTTATTGTTCTGTACCTTAACCTCATCCTGGCTAGGAGAGATACTGTGACAAAGATGTTTAGAATTCATTATATGTACCGCTGAGCGTACATTTAGCATGTCCAGTTGTGCTGAAATAGTGGATAGTTTAATAAAATGTAACGCTTTGTTTGTTTGCAGTTAGCAGTTAAACACAAAGCTACACAAAGGGCTATCTGTGTTCTGTCCACCACGGGTATCGAAACCCGGTTTCTGGCGTTGTAAGTCCGCAAACATATCGCTGTGCTACTGGGGGGGGGGTACAATTTACAAGAAAATAGGGGATAATGTAATACAATTTAATAAGAAACTCTGAATACTCTACGTTTTAATATTGGAATAGTTGATAATGTAATACAATTTAACACCGAGTTAACAAGAAAACACCGAACAGTCTACGGTTTAATAATGAAATACTGGATAATGTAATACAGTCTTACACATTTTTTAATACCGAAATATTTAATTTCATCTTCTCTCGAGATTAAGTGCGAGATAAACTCCTATTGATGAGGTTTAATTACCTTTGCCGCCCCTCCCCCCCAGTGACACAGCGGTATGTCTGAGGACTTATTACAACGCTAGAAACCGGTTTTCGATACCCGTGGTGGGCAGAGCACAGTTAGCCTATTGTGTAGCTTTGTGCATAAATTCAAACAAACAAACAAACAAACAAATTACCTTCATTACTCATTCAGAATGATATACAAACTTATCAGTTCAGACTATTGTATTCAATTAAAACAACAAACAACTTACGTCAGATGCTCGTCGATCTCAGACTGTAGCTCCAAAGGGACACGTATAACAGAGGACAACACCTTTTGTATAGTCTCCAGCCCTTCTCCACACTCGCTGGTTTCAAGCGGTGTATCGGATACACCAACTAACTGTACGTACATATCAGCGTGTTTGTAAACCTCTTAAATGTTATTGTTACGAAAATCACATATTTCACAATCAAAATTATCATTAATTGTTTGTTAAATAATGATTGTTACGGTATTTTATCAACTAGTGAATGATATAAGACAACTAACG